CAAAGTTCCAACATTTAAACCCCTGTAAATGCCCTCTAAATATCATAATTTTCTATTGATTTTCTTATGTTTGAGAGGGGTGTGGCCCGCCCATCTGCTCTGGGCCACGCCCACTGGCTTCTATTTTAGATTTCCTATTTCGTTTTTCTGGCTAAGCCCCTGTCTCCCGATTAGGTTCCAGTATGCCTGTACCTCTGTTAGCACTGCCACTGAGTAGAAGTGAGGATGCCCTCTATAATTATTGATTATCTCGCAAAGATCTTATAAACACAAGATAGCATTCTCTGTGATTTACACGTAACAAATAGAGGCGTTGATTTGGCAGCAGAAAGTAATCATTTTTGGGAGAGGGCGTCCTAGTTGTTGCCATAGATCTGAGATAAGGTGTTCGTGTTACGGCCAAAGTTTGTTACCAAGTATGTTATTATTCCTTATTTGTTCCTTAATTGTAAATCAACACTTCTAATTGTTACGCGTAAAGGTAAATTTGTGCGATGTACGCCATGGTCAAAGCAGGCAAAGTTCAAAAGTTTTCATTTTTGCAAGAGGGCACCGTACACTGCGTTATTACAGAATTTGCATGCAGATATTGCGGGGAACGCTATCTTGTGTTTATAAGATCTTTGTTATCTCGTGCAATTGCAGTTTGCAGGCTATAATTACGAACATTTTAAACTAATTCTTAGTTATGAAATATCTAAATTTCTATTCAATGCTTTTTGTATTAAGTCAGGAAGTGTCTCCCATACCTCTCTGAAATTTAGATGAATAGTATTATGAGGACATCAAAATTAGCAGGTTTACACTATCTACAACTTTGTGGGAAACATCAATTTAAATTGACGTGCAGTGGAAATGTTTGCACGAGAAAAGGAAATATTTGCGATCATTGTTAGTAGTAACATGTTAAAAACAACTACATACTCAAGGGGAACATTTTAAAATCAGAGGCAACTCCCATTATAGGGTTGTGACCTCTTGCATTTATGACACAGATTTAGAAATTATATTTACACTACTGTTCAGGTTTATAATTTTCAATGTGATTTATTTTAATTGCTGGCCATAGAAGGTCTACTTTTAGTATATTAATTGTTCAGTGGCATGCATGCCAGTTGGCCTTTGGCCATGATTTGTTATTGATTTACTGATGCGAATTCAAAATATAGGGATACAACATTCTTATTGTATGAATGTGCCCTAGCTATTAACATGACTCATCTAATCTAATTGTTTTTTTCATATATTTAATCAATTGTTGAGTTAAAGATCTGTGTAGTTAAATATTAAAAAATAACCTTTAAAAATTACTTAAAATTTAGAATTGTTCATATACAAATTAAATAAATATATAACTAATATCAGATATTATCAGTATTAAATCTGTAAAAATGTTGGTTGTTGCAAATTAGACATTTATGAATGCATGCAGCATGGTCAACATACATGTTAGAGAATTTAGTACACTCTCTGAAATGGATTGTCTCCCAGTACACTGCCTAATTCACCAGAAGAATCTGACTGTTTAATATACATTTTATACAACTAATAGAAAAATTGTTTTTATAGATATATAATTTATAACTACTATTTTCATTCAAATATTAGTTATTTTCTTCTGTTTTTTTTTCACTTTAGTGCAGTCAAGTTTTCAAAAGATCTTGCAGGTTTTCAAAGTTATTATTAATTTGTAAAAAAATAAAGCAAAAATATTGATTCTATTTTAATTAATCAATTTATTTTGTTATTTGAGTGGTACAGTAGTTTGATTCTGTTGTTTTTTTTTAGACATATTTTCACACCTTTAACATTTTTAGGTTATTGACCATACAGTAAGTACCTATACATAATGTACACACTGTATATTACCAGATATTCTTATAGTATTTGTCAGACGAAATGCCTATTCAAAATATTTGATTTAATGTACATTTCCACATCTTTAGCCTGGCTGTCAGATGTTAGTATTTAACAGACAAGAGCAGATGCAAAACATAGTGATTGAATTGGGCGTGATGTTGTGTGATCACTAGGCTGCCAAGAACTAGAACTCAGCATCTAGTGAAGCCTAGTGGCGAATGACGGAATATCAGATGGGTTTAGTAGAATTAGATAGATTATCCCCCATGCTGGACATTTCTGGATTAATTAGTGAGATTTGAGCAATGGTGGTGAGATGACGCTACCATCTGTCAAGGTATTTATAGAATGAATGTTAAGAAATCAAAATTACAACATTCTCTTTGATCATTGTTCATGGATTAATTTTTAATAATAATAATAATTTATTATTAATTTTCTCATATAATGGGTAACCTGTTCAGTAGATTTATTTTTGGTCCTGAGGAAAAAAATCTTGTTTCACAGGAATAGAACATAGGACCCTGGGACTTAAGGCAACCATCTGAACCATTAAGCTATTTAACTCTATATTTAGTGTTCTATGGAGTTGCTTTTTACCCATTAGATATTATTATAAAGACTATAGAAGAATTTTAATAAGGAGAAATATGTGTTAATATCCCATCTAGAAAGCAAAATATGGAACACACAATGTGAAATGTAGACATTTGATTAGCATGCTAATTAGTAATAACAAGGGTATGCAACTCTGTGACTAATTAAAAGCAATAAGAATTCACTATTGTGTGGTGTCATTATTTCTGAACAGTTTAGGTAGTAGGGTTACATCTGCCACATCAAATTCTGCCTGGGAAAACGAGAAGTGATCGTTTACTATTTTAAGAAGATGTTGCTTAGAAATTAGAGTGAATAAGAAGCCACTGCTGCACCACCTGTCTAGCTCCGGGTATTTAGAGTATCAATGAATGGAAGTGAATGAGCATTTAGCGTACCATCAATCTCTTCAATCACACTGGATTAAATGTCCAACAATTGTATTCTGCTGGAGAGTGCTTCAACATGAATTCTTTGCCCTTAGATATAACACTGCAGTATTCATATAATAACATGATAAGCGTGTGAAAGTTGTGCTAATTTTATTTGTTTTTTTAAAATGTTATTTAGGCGCAAGGATTTCGATTAGTTACCAAATGTAATCACTCTATCTAAGAAAACACATGATGATTTAGTATACATACAGTACCCTGCATCGCTGAACTTTTCACAGAATGTATCCTCGATTAGACTGGCCACATGTGCAGCATCCTATTTCTGTCGTTTACTGTATGCATAGGCTCATTAAGACCTACGGTACTCGCAATTGTGAGATTTGATGGCAAGTACTGTGTTACCAATCTACAGCTGCGATCCAAGTGGCTAGCTACTTTAGTATGTATTTTTTTGAATACATAATATTGATGTCCAATGTTGAGTTTTTAATTTAGCCCTATAAGCAGTAATAACAAGTGTAGATAGAAATTCTAATGGATTTATACAAGCATACAATCTACTGTACTGTGTACAGTATGTAGCAGTCAGTAAGTATTTGTGAATAAGTTCAGATATTAGTGTTGCATCTGCCACATCAAATTTACATGGAAAATTAGATGTGATGTGTTTTATACTTGAAAAACTTGATGAATAAGAAGAATTCGCAAAAAGACACTCGGACAGTTTCCTGCCAAATGTTTGAAAATTACATGATGTGAGCAATTTGTGAATTCGTTGGCAGTCAAAAGTCAATCACCGAAAAGCAATTGGCCCATTTCCTACTTGCTTGCTATTCTGTGTTAGTCACCAGTGTATTTATCTTTAATTTTAATATTCCAGTAATCAGCTATTTCCATACTCTTCAGACAGTATTGGGTCCCTCCTTCCATGTCAATTTTCCGTATCCTGTACTAGAAATATCCTGGAAATATTTACTTGGATGTACTGTTGATTGGAACATCCCGAATCTAGTAATTATAGTTTCATAAGAGGTAATAGTGATGTTGTCTTCAAAAGTTACTCTAAAACATTCTCTGATGTAAAGAAATTGTTTGTATCAGTTTTATAGCCTTTTCTTATAATAACAAAGACAAGAATAGTAAAAATTTTGCTGCAATCTATCTAAAAAAATAATTTGTGTCCCATATGCCCCATGATTTTACCTGCTAAAGAGCTTTGTACTCAAAAGCTAGTGTATATCAAATATATTCGACTTTAAATGCAGTACTAAAATTTCCAGTGTTTTATTATTGGTCTAGTACTGCTCATTCATTTTTTGCCCCATGATATGTAATGGAATGTTCCTAGTCTAGCATCTGGTTTCTGTTGATCTTGTTGAGAGGATTTTACTTTTCAGAGTGCTAAGATGAGTATACATTACACCACATGTACCTAAATAACCCCAATGAATTAAATTAAAATACTGTAAATGCGTCCACAAACTCCAAACCAAGTCATTAGCAGAGCATGTTTGAATTGCGCAAAGTACAGCTACATGATCCTCCATCTGTCGTCATCTAGAACACTTGACAGACCCATCAACCCGGCATAACTGTCTGTCTATCGACTCATCCACTTTACGGAGCAACCATAAAATAGGATTTAGGCACAGGAAATAATTCCAGAAAAACAATTTTTGGAATTGCTTTGAGTTTGAACTATGTGTATCATATTGTGTACATTTCAAATCGTATACTCTAGAATTATAAAATTGGATTTTTGCGTCATTGTATCTTATTCAACCTCAGCTGTGGATTGTATTACCAATTTTCGAGAAAGTGCAGATTACTACTATACAATTTTATTTGCTTAACAGTCTTAAACCCAATTTAAAGTTGATTTCGCGAAATGAGACACTTAAAATACTCTGGTTGACTTTTACATAGCAAGCTTGTAGTCCATTAACTGACTATTCTGGTTGCTCTGATCAAATGTTTCCAGTTTATTATGACATACATCCTGCTTCATTACATATTGCCACCTTTGTTTTTTTACAGTCCACTGTAATTGAAAACCTAGATCTTTATAGATTTTTTCCAAAAAATATGTCATAATGGAGAATTGAATAATTTTGCTGTGTAAATGGATGAAGTGTTGGGGAGTTAGATTACAGATATAGCAGGATGGTATTTTATGGTCAGAATAAAGCATCAGCATGTTGTAATAAATGTTCATGCAATGGTTCAACCGTGATTCTCTCGTATCTTACATCTCATCAGTGTCATACAAAGACTGGATGGCTTTTACAACGTGTAAACAAGGTTTGTTATAAGATAGTTTATGGGAATATTATACTGTACCCAAGGAACATTTAGATGATATTTTAAAACCAACGAACCAACCAGTGTTAATTGATTGGCTGGTTGGTTTGTTGGCTGCTTATGTGTCAGATATGATGTTAAGATGTTGGTCCTGTGTGCATAAATAATGATAATATGAGATTACAAACCCTTGCCCTGATGCGCCATTTATGTACTGAAAAACAATGGCCAGTAGTTAATCCGCTGTGTCTGCCAAATGAGCCCTGGCATCATATGCCTCACGTGGCAAGCTCACAAATTTGGCAAGTTTGCACGCCGTCCGGACTGCTTTGGTCCGCTGGCCAAAATTTGACACATGGTTGATCTGCTCGAGTCGGCCCGCGGTCGATCCGCTTGAGTCTGCTCAGCCTAGCCTAACAACTCAGTCGAGTTGGCTCTGTCAGTTGCGGGTTAAAAATATATAAATAACGTTCTAAAATCTGCATCCTAATTAGATTTGCGCCAAATTCGAGGAGGACTGAGATCCAAGTAATATTATCAATGTGAAAATTTTGAAGTAAATCGGTCCAGTAAAGTTATTGAGTTTTGAGTGCCCGGACACATGTACCATACAAACGGCATGACAGACACACACACACAAACAGCACGACACACAGACACGCACTATTGCAATACCCTTCACCTCTCTTTCGGAGAGGTGAGGGATAAAAACTCTTCCAAAAAGAGTACTAAGGATTGTTTCCCGGGGTAGCGATCTTGGTAGACACTGCACTGAGCTCCGCCACCCCAGGTGACTAATTGGGAAGACAATTTACATTACATTTTACAATCTTCGTTTTCTTGTTTCATATTTTTGTAGACAATTTTTAATATACAGCCTCGCTCCCTTGACCTTGTTGCTGAAACTTTAAAGAATCATGTTATTTTTGTCTTAAGCAAAGATTAAAATTTTGCATCACGGCTGTGTACTGTACCGGATTTTAGTTGCAGTACTGTATGTGTCTATTTATCACTCTACAGGAAGATTTCAAATGCCACAGCAATTTGCCATTTGTATCGTATAACTGTAAACCACGTGACTTAAACATTAATGAATGATTTAAATGTCATGAACAAGTCCACAAGTGTTTATATAGATGGTCTTACCTAAGTTATTTGTTATTAATACCTAATATGATGGATAATAGCAAAGAGAAAGATAATTTGATTCTTTTTGTTTTTCTTGAGATCAATCTTCTGAAAGTGAGGTGGTTGTTAGCAGAAAAAAAAGTGTTCAGCCTTAATTCCTTTTATTTATAACACTAGAAAAACTTAATTAGAATTGTAGTCTTTGATGATATGATGAAATCTATTAGTAAAATTAACAAAAATATTTTACAGATAGTCCTAATATAATTTTCATACAGGGTATTTATTCCAACATGAAATGACCTGGGACCCCCAAAAGGATACAAAGTCATTATGACCAACATTTGAAACCCAACAAATAACATATAATCATATTGAAAAAAAATTAAAATAGTCAAGTCTTGGGGTTATATTATAGTTCTGTATGTTTTAAATATACAGTATCTACTGCTATAGCTATTTTGTAGTTTTTAATTATTTTTTTTTGCTTTATTGTATTTATTTGGCCTCTTTAGTGGTAGTTTTTTTTTTTTTTTTTTTTTTTTTTGCTGTTTGATGTAAACTCCATAAAATGAATGGTTAATCCTTCTTAAGTGGTTTGGATTTTCTAATCCTCGTACAAATAAAATTTACAAGACAATGGGTTAAATCCCCAGCAAATCCCTCAAATTAGAACATAACTAACTTGATAGACAGATGTTGGTAAAAAAGCTTGCTATGCTATTGGCAAGTCATTTCATATGATTGATAAAGTATAACGAAACTGTTGAAACGGAGAGGTTACATCAGTACATACACCTACAAAGCAACTTTTGCTTTGGAAGCCTAATGTAATGATGGTGTATCTCCTGTACCACTGGTGGATAAATTATACTGTACCATCAGCCGAGTGATTGATAGTTCGTCCACGTATTCTAGTGTTTGTACCTACCTTTGAGTAGTTCTCTGGTTTAATATTTACGCCTTGTAGCGAATGCTTTTACCTTTGGAATAAACTGTCCTCCCCTTGGTAATTGGGATGGATTGTATAATCCTTTAATGAATTGTTCATCCCTTAGAATAAATGTTTTAACATTTGAATAAATATTGTTTTCCCTTGGGATAAACTGTTCATTCTTTGGAATAAACTCAGACCTGCCAACCTTCCCGATTTAATGGGGATCGTCCCAATTTCCGATGTCAAAAACACCAAAAAATCGGGACGTCCCTATATTTAGAATTTCAAAAAAAATAAAAAAAATAAAAAAATAAAAAAGAATTACATTGTAAGAAGTATCCACTACTTGCCAGTGTGGTGAAGGGAATATTAGTCTGTAGTTCCCCGGGTATAATCCCACCTCCCCCTCCCATGAATGCAAAATTGGCCCGATTTTAGGGGGTGGGTTTATAACCGGGGATTCCCTTGTGCATGAACAGAACGAAAATGACGATCGTTTTTGCAAGGTGGCAGATGTATTTCAACAATTGCCCTACGATTCAATAGCCTATCAAAAACAATATTCCGGCAAAGAAATCAGTCTTCACTCGAGCATCAAAGTAAGAGAACACATTAATTGTAGTTGGGTAGGCCTAGGTGCCTAGCTAGCTAGGCCATATCTTGGTTTTACATTGTGCTAGGCCGGCCTTTGCCTAAACTTGCTTTCTTGCATGATGTAACAAATTATTTTTAGCAGCGAATTAACGATCTGATCAGCCAACTGGGTGGGTCTCTTTAGGGATGAACCACTGTATTATCTATTTTTAGCTGCAGCTGTGAAACATGCAAGTCTTTACGTTGTGAATTAACAATCCGATCAGCCCACTGGGTGGGTCTCTTTAGGGACGGACTGCGGCATTGTCTGTTTTTAGCCGCAGTTAGCGAGCTGTTTATTTTTAGCAACAGTAAACAACAAAAGAATTTACAAGGATGGGCTTTGTATTCAACTCCACGGCGACCAATGTCTGTTGTAAGCAATTGGAAGAGTTTCAAGTTGGCGGAATTCAGAGACAATTTCTTTATTTTTGTGAGCATTTGTTAAATTTACCGGCCTAGGCCCTTCTCACCCAATTTATACCCTGGGACCTTACCCGAGGACATTCTTGTACGTGAAGTTGGGCGTAAAGTCGGGGGTGGGATTATACCCGAGGTGGGACTATACTCGGAGAACCATGGTAATATTTCAAAGCAATAGTGACTGTGAGATTTTTCTCTATTGTTGCAAAAAACAAGACTAAGCATCGAACTAGCATAACAACAGAAACTTTAAGTGCTTTAATGACACACAAGCTGGCAATGTTGAACAGAGATATTAAGTGTCATTCGTCTACTGTAGGCTAAATAATGATGTCATGAGATCAGCGAAACAAGCAAATACTATGCCCTTCATGGTAAAGACTGTAGGCCTACTGATTAAAATGTAACTTCAATATTTGTGTTGGTTTTGAAGTAAATAAATAGTATATTTGAAATTAAAACTCTTCTTTTTTTTTTAAAGTGACTGTACAGGATATAATTACCATCTTACAAATTGTTTGGGGTGGGGGCATGGCACCAAAGAATAGTGTTCCTATTTTTGATATTCAAATGTTGGCAGGTAAGTAAACTGTTTACCCCTTTAGAAGAATTCTTTTCTTTTTGAAATGAAAGAATAGGCAATTAGTCAGTTTATCCAGGTAAGTATTCACGAAGTAGACGACCTGTTTACTTCTTAAGATGAACTACCCCATGGAATTGATTGTTTATCCATTTAGGATGAACTGTTTACCCATTTAGAATGCTATTTACTCCTGTAATGCATTTAAGTGCTTTTGACATATTTATTCTTGATGAAACAATAACAATACCAAGGGTACAGTATATGATTTCGGGAGGCTTTTATATTTGGTTGTTTTTGTGATTTTAGTCTATTTATAATGGATAGCAATTATAAGTTAGAAGTATATTGTCCTTTAGGCAGTACCTGAGTAAATTCCTACACAAGAAAGTACATATTTACAGTAGAATAAAAATGAAATGAGTACAGTGACACCTTCTTCAGATCAGCTAGTTGGATTGAGAGGTGCTGAAGATTTGTCTTTGTTGCCAAATAATAACAATTACTGGTAACATTTTGTTGAGTAAAATATAATTATGAATCATGCTCATTAATGACATCATATCTCATGACAATCTTACAACATTCTTGGCATTGCATTCTATTTACAATTAATTGTCAGGAGGAAACCTTATTTTAAAATGTTCATAGTGGTTGGCTTCGTAGAATGCATTGTGACCTCCATTTTGCCTTTATAGAATCTAGATCTTAATGCTTTTTAATGAATTGATCTTCCTAGTTGATGTTTGCAATCCTTTATTATAATTTTTCATACAGTTAATAAATTAAGCAGATATTAGAGACAGAAACTCGATTGCGCTTGTCATTGCGGCTCTTTTATTGGGCAATTGAGGTCGATGAATAATTTTATACTGCACCGATTCTAATGAAAGATGAGAGGTGTTTCAGATGAAAGAATCGTATGATGATAATAAAATTGAGCTTGTTACTTATGATTAATGCACAGGTCATATGTGCTTTAGATATCCAATGTAGTACCGGTATATGCTTTCAGTAAGAAAAAGAAAGGGTGGAGGGGAAATGGAATGGGGGCTACTCTACATCTTTTTTTTCAAATGGGTTTTTGTGAATGTAACTTAAGAAACTAACACAAATTTAGTTGCCTTATAATTGGTGGTATTGAGCTCAGCTTTGAAAGCCATGCAATATTAAAATGACAAATGCATGTGTTGCACTTACAGTAACTGACAGCACTTTACAGATGTCACTGATTTTAATTGTGCGTGGGAAATACAAGCAATGAATAACCGGTATAAAACTACAGTACATCGTTGAGAT